TATGAATATTTTTATACATGTGGGTCCTTTTCCCATTTTTATGATCTCTCTGGAATACAACCCTAGTAGTGGTATTGTTGGGTCAAAGGGTATGCACAGTTTTATAGCCCTTTCAAAAAAGTTCAGTGAAAGGACTTCAGAGACAGGTTTTTCATTTGTTTCTTTTGTACTTTGATGCAAAATACGTGCACTAAAGGATTTGCTGAAATAACTCGTATTTCAGCAAGTAAATCTTTATTTTACCTTTTAGAATTAGTAAAGATCCATAATTAAACGTGCCATATAATAGCCCAGGGCATTGAGTAACAAAGTATAGGAGTCCCATAAGTATAGGTTTAGACAGACCAGCCCTTCGTGGGATTTCCTCCCAATAAACCAAAAGGGACAGACCTCAGAGGGCTCTCTTCCTGAACAGAGTGATCAGGCTATTCAATTATAGGCAAACCTAAAAAAGGGGCTTGAGGCCTGATTGTGGGGTTGGGGTTAAGAAGAGGAAATAATAAGAGAAGGGAGGCAAATAAATAGGAACCTGTGCCATTCCAGTTTCTCAGTAGGAGTAACCTCATGAGGAGGGAAAATCTTTTTGCCCCATTGTGGATGCCTCTGTATAATTTGTAATCATACCGAATTATTAGGCAGACTTTCCTTTCCAATTTAGACAGTTTATGGTTGTTAGAATCTGCCCAGATGCACCAACAGCTCCTCTAATTTCAGTATGATGCTTCAGTAACTAACCTAAGCATAGCCATTGTTTCAATATTTCAAAATAAAAAGGTCCTCCCCAGGGCTTAGTATGTCTAGTTTCAGAAGTTAATCCATTAGAAGGAAAACAGGAAACTGGGGAGGGGGGGAATTTTACAGCAAGTTTCTCTGATAAAGGCCTCATTTCTCAAATATATAGGGAACTGAGCCAATTTTATGAAAAGAAGAGCCATTCTCCAGTTGATAAGTGGTCAAAGGATAAAAACAGTCAGTTTTCAGGAGAAGAAATTAAAGCTATCAAAAGTCACATGTGAAAATGCTCTAAATCACTACTGATTAGAGAAATGCAAATTAAAACATCTCTGAGATACCACCTCACTTATCAGATTGACAGGAAATATGACAGAAGAAGAAAAATGACAAATGTTGGAGGAGATGTGGGAAAATTGAGACACTAATGCACTTTTGGTGGAGTTGTGAACCATTCTGGAGAACAATTTGGAACTATGCCCAAAGGATTACAAGACTGTGGTTACTCTTTGATCCAGCAATACCACTACTAAGTCTGTATCCCAAAGAGATCAAAGAAAAGGGAAAAGGACATATTTGTCCTAAATATAAAAAAATATTTATAGCAGTTCTTTCAGTGGTGGCAAAGAATTGGAAATCAAGAGGATGCCTATCAATTAGAGAATGGCTGGAAAAGCTGTGGTATATGATTGTGGAGGACTATTGTGCTATAAGACATGATGAGCAGGATGGTTTCAGAAATACCTGGGAAGACTTACATGAACCGATACAAAGTGAAGTGAGCAGAACCAAGAGAACATTGTACACAGTAACAGCAATATTGTAAGAATGATCAGCTGTAAAAGACTTGGCTACTGTAATCAAGACATGATCCAAGACAGTTCCAAAGGACCCACGATGAAAACTGCTATCCACCTCCAGAAAGAGAGCTGATGCATTCTGAATGCAAATTGAAGCATACTTTTTAAACTTTATTTTTCTTGTTTTATTTTTTGTCTGTGCTTTCTTTTGCAACATAGCTAATATCAAAACATGTTTTGCATGACTTCACATGCATAATTGATATCAAATTTCTTACCTTCTCAAGTAGGAAGAGGAAGAGAATTTGGAACTCAATTTTTTTAAAAATTATTGCTAAAAAATGTTTTACATGTAATTGGGAAACATTTAATGAAATAAATAAAATATATTTTTAAAAGTTAATCTAAAAGTTAATCATTTTTACAGAGATGCCTAAACTGGGTCTTAGAGAGACTGAGTTCTTTGAAGTGAATTTTCTTTCAATTAGCCAGGAGACAACCCAAAGGGGGAAAATGACCAGATTTCATGTTGGGAGTAAATTAGACAAGGAATAATTTAGTTTCCAAATCTACAGGTAATTGCCACAAATACGGAATCAATAAATAAACATTTATTAAACACCTACCGGCCTCAGACCAGACACTTGACACCTACTAGCTGTGTGATCCTGGCCAAGTCACTTACCCCCTATTGCCTAACCAAAAAGCAAAACAAAAACAAAAACAAAAAACCACCTACCCCATGCCAGGAACTGTGCTACACTCTGGTAATACAAAAGGAGGAGGACCAGAGTTATGAGAACCTGAAAGATCCCATAATGATGACCAAGTATTTAAGGCAGAATTCAGACTTAGGGGAGATTTACTGCTGATCCTCATTCTTCTTGGATTCCACATTTTCGAATTCACTTCCTCACTAAAATTTATTTGTAACCCCCAAATCAACTCTCTAGTGAAGCTTTTAACAATGGTCCCCAAGAGCAATGCTGTCTAGGGTTCCTAAACCCAAAAAGGTTGTGAGGCCACTTACAGAGAAAATACCTGCTAGATAAGCTTCTTTCAGGCATGAATCATTGTGCTGTTGGCCATGAGTTCAATGATAATCAATCAACAAAACAGTACATCCAGAAAAAGGAAGAGGAAACTCTACGATGTGCACAGGAGATTGTTCTGGAAAGTGCTAAAGTAAATGCTGCAACCAGAGGTTCACAGGAAGCCAATCTTGTATTTCTCCTAGGAGCAACTGTTCAATGTTTCAGTATTTGCTGCTGTGCATTTATGAACTTTATAGAACGTAACCACCAGGAGTGAGGAAAAGCAACCACATATCATTAATGATAGCGATACTACTGACCACTAGAGATTTATATCAGATCACGAGACCAAAATTAACGAGGGATTTAGACAGGAGAAATGGCTAAGTGCCAGGGATGGGGAACCTGCAGCCTCGAGGCCATGTATGGCCTCCAGTTTGTTCTGTGAAGTTTGGAGTCAGTCCAAGGGCTGCATTTGAGGACCTAAGGGGCCACACGTGGCCTCAGGTTCCCCACCCCTGGAAAACAATACTGTAAGTATGAATGACAGTCAGACATCAGTTTCTCGCTTATTTGCCGTGGGGGAAATAAGATGAAGGAGCACAGAGTTTGGAAAGATGCTAGAATCATTCCCAGGTATTCAGCCCAAAATAAAGAAGGCCCTCCCATTAGGACACAAGGTTCTTCACTCAAGCCTTCAGTTGGAATCCTGACTCACAGCCCCGATGCTTATCATGGAATGGGGGGGTTGCTGCCTAGTTGATCACATCAGGGTTTAACAATTTATATATAATAGATTATATAAATGCCAGGCAGACAAACAGACAATACAGACAATATCAGCAACATTAACCCAACTCTATGATTTTCTAAATAGCACTAAATACCAGCTAGTTGATTTCTCCTACCCAGAAATCTCCCAATGTAAATACATAAACTACATATCTATTACTATATTATTATATTTAAAATATGTATGTTTATATATGTATACATGTATGTATATATCAGTTGGGCAGCTAGGTAGTTCAGTACATAGAGCTGGGCCTGGAGTCAGGAAGACCTGAGTCCAAATCTAGCCTCAGATACATACTAGCTGTGTGACCCTGGGCACTTAACCCCAATTGCTTCATCAAAAAGCAAAAAAAAAAAAGGGGGCGGCTAGGTGGCAGCTAGGTGGCGCAGTGGATAGAGCACCGGCCCTGAAGTCAGGAGGACCTGAGTTCAAATCCAGCCTCAGACCCAACACTTGACACTTACTAGCTGTGTGACCCTGGGCAAGTCACTTAACCCCAATTGCCTAAAAACAAAAAAAAAAAGTAAAAAAAAAAAGTCATGGATAGTATTGGTGTGCTATGGTCCACAAAGTTACAGAGTTCAATACAACTGAACAACAAAATATATCGGCTGTCATTTGTAACAGACACACATTTCCACTGATATATTATTGTATATTATGTGCAGACTGATATATAAAAGACACACTTAAATACATGCATACACATATGTGTACGTACATATATTTGTATCTCACTTGAGGATTGTGAAACACCCCTTTCATCGTTGACTGGTGGAGAGTGTCACACTCTTGAATGAATAAATGGCCCTTCCCTCCTCTCTCAGCATCACTGACTAGTCATTGGTAGCAGTGCCTGGTCAAGGGAGCCTCTGGACTTAAGAAATGCTTGTTGACTCGTCTCTGAGGTCATCGTCCAGCTCTAAATCTGTGGTCCTGTGACTTCACTTCCCCTCCCTGGGTCTACTTCCTTGTCTGTGAAACAAAGGGATGGACTACGTGTTCTCTGGGTCCCTTCCTCAGTTTCCTCCTCTGTCCAGTGAGGGAGTTAGTCAATCCCTTCTGGGGTCCCTCGAAGTTCTCTTGCAGTGTGTGCCCCAGGAACCTCTGCCTTCCCGGCCTCAGGTCTGAGACATTGTTAGCGCAATAAGCAGAGCTGGCTCCTCAAGTTCTCGTTCCAGCGCAGACAGGACATTTCCCTTGTCCGGACCCCCGCCTGAGCATTCTCTGGTACTGACTTCTCCTCCCCCGCCCTCTGGGAGTGTTTTCCGGAAGTGCTTTTGTGCTTCATTTGCATAACGGGACCGTTTGGCCCAGGGCAGATGTCGGTACGGAAGGATAACCAGTGAGAGAGTGGGACCCCCTAAACCCCAAGCCTCGCAGGCAGTGCAGGTCTTGGAGGAAACGCGAAGCCCTGGAGACTGGGACAGAGAGAAGGGCCAGCCGTCGGTCACCATGACCGCAGAGGGAGTCTGTGACCAGACCCTGGGTGACCGCCCGCATTTACGTCCCATATAACCTTTGTTCTGAATACAGTTGAGAACTTTGCGCAAAAAAAGGATTAAGACTAACAGAAACATGTTGCGAGGTTTTCGGGGTATTTCTGCATCTGCTCTTGAAAACAATCAACAACTGAACTGATTTATGAGCTGGTTTTCTCGGAAAAAGGATTTTTTTTTTCTTTCCAACAGACCAGGACTGTGGTGTGGTTAAAAACAAGGGAGCAGGTCAGACCCGAAGACCACCCTCGGGAGAAGAGCTCGGCAGAAAAATAGAAAACCAGGACAATGCTAATAAGTTCTTAGCGAGAGGGGGCAACGTGGGCCTAGTGGGTTCGTGCCCCGAGGCTTTTTCCTGAATTGCAGGACGCCTTTGGGTTGAACGGCTTTCTGTGTGCTCAAAACATCCCATTTCTCTGCTGCTGGGGGCGTTTGCCCATCAGGCTTGCCCGCTGGGGGCATTTGCCCATCGGGCTTGTTCACTCTCCCGTATCAAGAGAAGGAAGGCAGGCCGCTAGACTAGAGCGAACCCAGTGGGACAAGACTTATGCTGTTTGACTCCACTATGAGCTGGACTGGTACCGGAGTTCTCTGCTTGGTGATGGAGCGGACCCCTCCAAAGGCTTTCGGAGCTCGCACCCAGGTTACTCTGCTGCCAATATGAGTTCCGGGCAGCTCCATCCTCGCCTGAGAACTGGGAGGGGGTCCCTCCGCGTCGGGCTCTGCTGTGAGTTGGAGCGATAGTGAAGCCCTTCGCAGAGGTTACTTGGAGGCATGAGACAAATTGCGAGGAATACATTGATCCCTAACTGGGAGCAGACTGGAGCCTCGGCCTCCGCTGGATTCTGCTAGGAGCTGAGCTGCAGGCCGAGGGCCTTCTCCATGTGGCCCAAATCCACATTGCTCCTGAGCGAGCGGGAAGCGGCCTGGCCCGGCGCCCTCGCCCCGGGGCTCCCATGGAAGCCAGGTCGTTTCAAGGAGCGCTGTTGGAATGGACTCGACCGTGGCTGGAGCCAGGGAACCCGTGCGCGGGCCGGACTGGAGGCGCCCTGCTACCCCGACTGGGCTCCAGGAAGCGCCGGTGGAACGCAGAGGGAGGCTGGCCCGGACGGACCTGAGATTGTAGACAGTGTTTTGGGGATCACTCTCCGGGGGCTGCTGGAAAGGAAGGGGGCGCCAGCTGAAACATTGCAGATGACTCTTGGTTAGTTGCGGGGACAGTAAGCTGCTGGGAGTGTGAACGCTTCTGTAAGCGGGCTGGGGGGCTGGGGAGTTGAGGGAGGGGACAGGCGGGCGCCCGAGCCCCAGGACCGAGACGATCGCGACAGAGACTGACTTGTTGCTAGGGTTTGTCCCTCCTTTCCGCTTCCCGTTGGAATGTTAGCTCCTCGAAGGCAGGGCACGCACTTAATAAAGCTTAATCCCGTCTGAAGGGCTGCGTGTGGTGCAAAGAAGCCAGACCTGGGCCTCCGTTTCCCCATTTGTCAAGCGGAGGAAGCGGCTTTCAGGGAGGAAGGATGCTGGAGTGGGGGGGGAGACCATTGGGGGCGGGGCTGGGAGAGGCGGAAGCGGAAGCTCCTGCGTGGGTTCACGCCCGACGCCGCCGTCGCGCTGCTGCCCGGAAGCCGCGCACCGCTCGGGGCCTTCGCCATGGCCCGCAAGAAGAAGGGCGGCGGGAGCCAAGGCCGCCTGGTGCTCACCTTCGACGAGGAGAAGCGGCGGTGAGCCTCCTAACTTCACCCAGATGTCCCCCCCCCCGTCCCCCAGCTCATGGTGTATCCCGAGAACCACGTGGTTTCCTCCCTCGGAACCTCCCCCTACTCTGCAGATCATGGTCTGCCCCAGGAGCCACGTGGTTCCCCCCCCGCCCCCCAGATCATGGTCTTTGTGCGTGGTTGGGGGGCGGAGCTGCCCCGGGAGCCGGGTTCTAGTTCTGCCAGTTTCCCATACTGTCTCATAGCGATCATAGGGCCTTGTTTTTGTTTTGCTTCGGGGGGGGGGGGATTTTCAGAAATTAAAAATAAATTTAAAAACAAAGCAATGTCCAGGCGTTGGGGAGGGGGTCTTGAAGATGACTCTTCTCCCTCCCAGGCTGGAGCCCCCCAGGAACGGGCAGGCGCCCTCTGCCCCTGCCTTGGATGGGCCCCGAGTAGAGACGTTGTAAATGGTGGTGTAGACGTCCTGCTTTCCTCCTCCCCGCTAAGAAAAAAACAGGGGCCACCGGGCCCTCCTCGAGGTCGGGACCATGTCATTCTCTCCATTTTATGGAGCAGAAAACCGAGGCTGCCCCAGGCTTCCAGGGGAAGAAGGGACCCTGGAGTTTGAACCCACGTCCCTTGGCAGCAATTCCAACGGTCTTGCCCCCGAGTGGGATACGCTGCCTGGGAAGGTAGTGAGTTACCCATCTCTAAAAGGTTGGATGACCCATGAGGGGCTTTAGAGACCATTGAGTCCAAACCTCCCCCTATTTTACAGATGACGAAACTGAGGCAGAGAGGTCAGTAGTGTCTGAGGCAGACCTTGACTGCAGGGTTTCCTGAGCCCACGCCAAGCAGTCCGTCCACTGCCCTGATAGCCACCTCACCTTGCTGGGGTTGGGGAGCCTGGGGTGGGCTGGAGGGGACGGCCAGACTTCCCCTGCCCCAGGGAAAAGCCATGCCACTTAGAGCCCGTCACCCACTGGTGCAGCTCGGGCCCGAGCTAGAATCAGGAAGACCCGAGTTCAAATGTGCTTCAGTAAGTGTGTCTGAGCAAGTCACTTTAACCTGCCTCAGTATCCTCATCTAAAACAAGTGGATACCAGCAGCTGCCTGCCGGGGTCGTTGTGCAGAAATGAGGACGTTTGTAAAGCGCAATGTGTGATAGGATTGGAACGTGAGCATGTTAGCGTGTGTTTACACACGTGATATATTCCGCAAAGAAGGAAAGCTGTTGTCCGGGCCGGCCTCCGGTAAAAGTGCCTCGCACGTGGACGGGGTGCCTGGGAGTGAGGCAGGCCCGCCCCGCCCTGTTCTGCTGCTGGGGGGGGGGGGGTCGCTCCCCGCCGCCCCCCCCATCCCGGCCCCTCCTCCTCTCCGCAGGGACTACCTGACGGGCTTCCACAAGCGGAAGGTGGAGCGCAGGAAGGTGGCCCTGGAGGAGATCCGCAGGAAGCTGAAGGAGGAGCAGCGGAAGCTCCGGGACGAGGTGCCCGGAGGCCGCGGGGGGTGGGGGGGGGCTGCCCGCGCTGGGGCTGGCGTCGGAGCCCCATCATGGCTGGTGGCTGCTCCGTCCCCAAGGGTCTTCGCTCAGCTCTGTCCCCTCCCGTTGCAGCGGCACAAGGAGTACCTGAAGATGCTGAAAGATCGGGAAGAGGCTCTGGGTGAGTCCTGGAGTGGGAGGGAGCAGAGACCCCCCCCCCCAGCCGGGGAAATGGGCCTTGTCCTGCCCCCCATGGGGCGCTGGGGTAGGGGTCCCTGGGAGCCTGGGGGGGTGGAGAGGCCTCCTCCACCTGACCCAGGCCCGTTGCAGAAGAGGCAGACGAGCTGGACCGGCTGGTGACCTCCCAGACCGCGTGTGTGCGGTACGACCACCCCAACCACACGGTGACCGTGACCACCATCAGCGACCTGGACCTCTCAGGGGCCCGGCGCCTGGGGCTGCCCCCGCCTGGGGTAGGCGCACGGAGGGGTGGGGGGCCCCGGACGGTCTGCGGCACCCTGGGGCGTTGGTCTGGAGAGGAGGGGATGGAGGGCAGCAGGAGCCAGGACTCTCTGTCGGGCCTGGCGGAGGTGTGGTCAGCAGGGGCCGACCTTCGCTCCTTGATTCGTTGGGCACCGGGCTGGACTTGGATAAAGGAGCCTCGCGGCAGGCTCGGCAGGGCCAGGAGGGAGCTTAGAGTGGGAGTGTCAGAGGCGGGGCTCATCTGCCACCTTGTTGAAGTGGGAGGGTCAAGCGAAAGGGGGAACCCAGAGTCGGGTAAAGGGCGGGATGTTTTGCTGAAAACAGTGGGGAGACTTCCACGGGGGCGGGAATCCTTGGCCCTTCCTGGGGACCCCTCCCCCTTCTGTAGGAGGTAAGAAGCTGCCTTGGCTGCCCCCCAGGGAGAAGCAGACCCTGCGGCAGAGGGAGCAGAGACCCCCGCACGTGGTCCCGGGGCTTTGCCCAAGAAGTCTCGGAACCCCTTCCTGTCTCAGAGGTGAGCCCCAGTCCCTTGGAGGCAGCTGTGTAGGCACCCTGACCTGTTGGTGCCAGCCCAGGGCGCCGGAGGCATGCTCATCTTAGGCTGCGGCAGGGCACCCAGGATTCTGGGTGCCCCTGCTCCCCCCCCACCAAGAGCCACGTTTGGGAAAGAGGGAGTCCATGTGGTGCCCGGGTGCTGGGCAGCTCCACACCGGGAGGGCAGAGCAGCTCGGTCCTGTGGGGGCCTGGACAGGGCAGGTTCTGGTCGTGCTCAGACTGCCTTGGGGCTTGGCAGACTGGTGAACACGCGCACACACACTGACACACACACACACTCACTCTCATTCTCTGTGTGTTGATGCTTGTAAACGTCATTGCCGTGTGCCCACGACTTGCCCGCTCCTTGGGGTGCAGCCCCCCCGACACTTTTCACCTTCCTTTCCGTCGGTGCTCATTCTTTCCCTCCTTTGGGATTTCCGTCAGTCCCTTGGGGCGTGCCCGGTTGGGAGGCCGTGTGGGGCACTGGGTGGCGCCTGTCTGACCCCATGGCCGGGACATCATCTGTGCCCCTTCGTCACAGCCCCTCTCTGAGCCCCGGCCCTCTGACCCCTGCCTGCTGCCGATCGCCTCTCCCATGCCCCCAGCCGGCCTCCTGCAAGGCGGGGGAAGCCATTTAAACAGCCCCTGCCCCGCCTTCAGCCTCCATGGTTTTTGGTCCTTGTCCTGGGGGGAGGGGTCAGTCATCGGGGCCTGGGGGGAGCCTTGCGGACCTGTGGCCACATCCTCTGGTCTGTCCTGGGCAGGATCTCCTCCCTCACAGCCTCCCTCCACGCACGGAGCCAGAGGCGGGCCGAGAGGAAACGCCCACATCCACGCCGTGGCCTTGATTCCGCTAAGAAGCCACCCAGCGCCACGCGGACCAGCAAGGCTCACCGCCGCAGGATGACCGGCGGGAACAGGCGAGACGGTGGCCCAGGGTAGGGGGGCGCCTTTCCCCCATGCCCTCTCCTTGTTGCCCCCTCCTCGAGGCTGGAATCTTCTGGAAGCTGCCACAGAGCCCCCCCACCTGCCTTTGCTACCCAGACCTTGTACCCTCACAGCTAAGGAGGCCCGGGTTCGAGTGTCCCCACCCCAGGGCCGGGCTTTGGGGGCCTTGAATTGGACCCTTGCAACCTCAGTATTGTTCCCGAGGCTTCTCTGGTTAGTCTGGGGGACTCGACCCAAAAGAAAGCGCCTGTGGGCAGGGCAGGGCAGAGCTCGCTGAGGGTGCCCCAGCCTCTGAGAATCCTCACACCGACTTCCTGTTTCTCCTTTGAGTGAAACGATGGACCCCAGAGAGTGTTGGCTGACAGCCCCTTCCAGGCAGGGTTGGGCCTGGCCTTGGGACTGTTAGATGGGGATATCCCCACTTGCTGCTGGGTGATCTGGGGCGGGTGTGCCCCTCCTTCCCTCCTCTGCGATTGGTCACCTCGAGCCTGCCCAGCTGCAGGAAAAGCTGCTTCGGTCCCTGCCCCCCTCTAGCCCTTGGTGATTTTGAGAGGCTGTGACCAGAGAGGTGTCAATAAAGTCTGGCCAGTGAACATGTTATTAATCACTTCCTGTATGCCCCACAGACGGTGGGCGGGTTTGACCAGAAGGGACATTGGCCTCTAAGGCCCTGGTTCTTGCCTCCTGGGGACTGATCTGAGGCCCCTCGGGGATTAACCTTCAGGAGGGAACGGTGGGCCAGGACCTCGGGCTCCCGAGTATTTGGAGGGTCTTTCTGGAGAATAAGAAACAGCATTAAATAAGTCCTGTTGGCCAATCTAGGAGCAGTGGAGGGTCACCTCCTAGGTGCCCAGCACGATCCTTGCCGCTAGAGATGTGAGCTTGAAGAATTAAACCTTATGTGAAAGGAGCTTGTGTTTGATGGCAAGAGGAATTCCCAGCAGCTGGGACTCCCAGAGTGGAACAGGCTGCTTCGGGCAGGAGTGCGTCCACTTTCAAGGAAAGGCTGGGTGGCCACTCCGGGCACTGCCCGTGAGCTGCTCCTGCAGGTGCAGGTGGGATTCAGTGGCCCCTCAGGATCCAGTCTGTAAAGTCGGGATGGTTCCTGAAGCTTTCTCCCGGGTCTGTGTTTGGCGGCGGTGGCGGCAGCTCAGGGTCTCCTTGGCGCCCCCGTGGCCAGGAGACGGAGAAGACGTGGAGGCAGCAGGTCCTGCGCAGAACAAAAAAAAAAAATTCCGTTTGAATTCAAGGAGAATTGTGAGCACCTACTGTGTGCCTAGCACATTGCCAGACCTTGTGGGATACAGAGACCAAAATGAGACTTTGTGCCCTCGTGGCGCTTACATCCTAGTGCAGAGAGGAGACGACAATGTCGCCACCGGAATTTGGGGGTGGGAAGGAAGCACGAACGCTTGGGGAGATCAGGAGAGGCCTCTGGAGAAGGCGCCCCCTGAGCCGAGCTTAGAGGGAGCTGGGGTACCAGGAGTGGAGTGAGGAGTGAGAGCGTGCCCCGAGCGAAGGCATGGAGGTGGTAGATGGGATGTTGGGTAGTGAGAAGAGCAGGAAAGGCAGCTTCACTGGAATGTCTAGGGCTTGGGAAATAGGGAGTGGCCTGAAGTTCTCCACCTGGGCTCTGTGAACTTGGAAAAAGGAAAAGTGGTAACAGCTTTGCAATTGTTGCTTTGTGGAATTAGATTTTTAAATGTATTTTAATTTTATTAAATATTTCTCAATTACATTTTTAAAAAATTTCTAACATTTATTTTTTCACATTTTGAGTTCCAAATTCTCTCTCCTGTTTGTTCCGCATTCCTGGAGAAGGTGAGAAACGGGCTGTATATTACAGATGTGAAGTCCTGCAGAACATTCCCATGTTAGTCACATTGTGGAATCATCGAATTCAGTGATGTTGAAGCACCTTGTGCGAAGCCTTTTGTAATGATCTCGCAACCCTTAGGGGTAGGTGCTGTTATCCCCATTTTGCAGGTGGGGACATGAGCAAATGGAGCTTAAGTGACTTGCTCGGGGTCACACAGTGTGGAGCTAGATTTGAACCAACACCAAGGCCAGCATGCCACCCATGCGCCACGCAGCTGCCCACGAGGGGCTATTGTAGTGGACCGTGGGGCTAGCCTCAGGTGGGGAGCAGAGAATGGACTTCAGGGATGTGGAGACACGTTCAACCAGACTCAAGGAGATAGAGGGGGTGCAGGCTCGAGGCCTTGGAAGGGTAGGCAATTGCTAGTCTCTGCATTCAGGACATAGCCTTGGCAGGCCTGGGGGGAGGCCACGCACTGAAGGCAGGCCTTCGGAGCCCTCCACCCAGCACCCTGGAGACTTGCCAGTCTCGGGCTATGTTTGACCCAAAGTGGTATCGCCACGCACAGTGCTTGTCTGGCCCACCACACGCACACACGCTTCTGACAGGCACAGCACCCCAGGATCCTTGCCATTGCTTCCAAAACTAACCTGCCCTACAAGGACGGAGGCTTGCCGCCATCTCTGAGGAGGCAGCAAGGAATGAGCCGGGCAGGAGTCTGGGCATGTTTGAAGCTGTGTGGCCGACTTTGAGAAAATGCCCAGGCTCCCAGGGAGGAAAGGGCCTTCTTTGGCTTCAGTGTTGGGAGTGGGGGAGGTGCGGCTCTGTCCCTGCACGGAAGCCTGTCCATAGCCGATAGTCCTGAGGGCTTAAGGAACCTCCCCAGTCACAGAGCCAGCAGGTGTCTGGGGCAGGCCGAGCCCAGGACTTCCTGCGTGGGGGGCTGGCTGTCCCTGAAACCTCCCCGGGGCTCTGGGGATGTGATTGCCAAAAATGACCTGGTCCCATCCAGAACCTTGAAATTGTGGTCTGGTAGCACAGAGCACACACGAACACAGCACATGCATGTATGCATGTGTACAATACACTTATGTACACAAATACTGACATATATCTGCAAGAACACGAATTTACACAAGATACAATGCACACGTACTTATGTATACATGATGCCCACGTACATATGCACGTGAACACATAGGTAAACGTGTATGCATACGTATACATTTATGCAACATAATGTACATGTAAGCATTCACCTATACGTATACATACATATATATACACATATATACATACTGAAGTGTGTTACAGGGACCGAAGAGGGTCCCCAGGTCTCCTGGGAAGCTGAAGGACAGCTCACTAGAAGCCGGCTGGGCTCAGCAAAGTCAGGTCTCATGGGGTTTAGACACCGGAGCCCTGCACACAGGAGGCGCTCAATGATTGCTTTCTCTCTGCAGAGTTGAACGGGGCCTCGGACATCACTACTTTACACCCTCGATCTGGTCCAACCCCTTCATTTTTCTAATGAGGAAGACTTGCGGTCGCACAGTTAGGAAACCTGGGAGGTGGGATTTGAACCCTTGTCCTTTGATTCGGGGCCCAGGGGGTGACCTGAACCTTAAACAAGGCCGAGGGGAGACGGGACGCTCCCTGAGTCCCAGGTGCTGGTGCAGCTGGCGCGAATGCTCAGAGGTCCCCCAGGACAAGTGAACTTGGGGAGCCGCCAGTAGCTTGTCAGGAGGGCCGGAATGTCAAGTTCAAGGAGGAAGGAGAGTCCACGTGGGCGTGGGAGGTCGGGTGGCCTCCAATCACCTCTTCTTCCGGCTACCCGGTCGGGGCTCCCTCCCAGTATGTTCCTAGCGCTCGAAGGCGGAGGCCGAGGCAGGCGGCAGCCATAGCAGCCACTAGAGGGGGGCCGGCGCGCAGTACGGCTGGCCCTGGGGTGATGGCAGGACCTCGGCCTCCCGACATGCGCGGTCTCTGGCTGCTGCGGGTCTCTGCAGTCCGGAGCGGGGCTGCCCCGGGCCTGGCGCACAGAGCCGCGGGCGGAGGGTGTGGATGGAATTAACCCACTCATTGTCTGCAACTTCGGGGATCCTTAACTAGTCAGACCGGCTGCTCCGGCTGCCCTGCCTGGGCTACGGACTAACGTGGGCTCAGGCTTCAAAACGCTTTGGTATTTTCACCTGACGTCTTCCTCGCTTCTAAATGTATCCCTACATTTAGGGGAGCCATCCCTTGTTACAGAAAGCAGAAATAAGAGGCTGGGGGGAAGCAGCTCGGCTAAACCGAACTACAGCTATGGTGAAAAGCATAGCTAACATTTCTCTAGCACCTACTACGTGCTGGGCACTGGGCTAAGCGCTTTACAAATTTAAAGCAACCCTAAGAGGTTAGTGTTGTTATTCGCCCCATTTTACAGATGGGGAAACTGAGGCAGTCAGCTGTTAAGTGACCTGCCTGGGATCCTAGCGCTAGGATTTAAAGTTCACGTCTTCCTGACTCCAGACCCAGCTCTCTATCCATGGTGCCATCCAGCTGCTCCATGTTGGCAGAGTCTGACGTTATATAATGTTACCCACCTCTAAGAGGAAGGCAGGGAGGTATATTTTGTTATTTCTTGAGACTAAACTTGGTAGTGAACACGGCAGAAGAAAGAGCTCTTTCCCTGAAGTCAAAAGACCTGGGTTCTAATCCACCCCCTGACCCATTGGGTAATGCATAGGTGTCACAAGTCAAATTAGCCCCATTTTAGAGATGAAGAGACTGAGGCACAGACACATGATGTGACCTGCCCAGGGTCTCTTTTATGGGGGGGAGGTTCATATTTCCATCATTAGAGCCATTGAGTACCTAGCTCCCCAGGCTCTGTCTTCTCCCTACATCATCTCCTCGGAGTCTGACCCCCAAGTTTTGCTGTGTTTTCCACAGCTCATTTTCTTTTTTTGACTCAGTAGCATCTCATTACATTCACGACACACTTTGTTTAGTCCTTCCCCAGTCGATGGGTCCATGCTTGTCAAAGGTGGCTCAACACAGGAAAACCTGAACAGAGAATTGGGGGGGGAGGGGTTAGGACTCTAAGGAGCTACAAGTGAGGTCACTCGGAAGGTTCCATAGTGGGGGCCCGGCTCTTTCCTCATTTCTAAGGCTGGGCCAATCGACCTTCCCAGCTGGGGTCTCTGAGCTGCTCCCCTAGAGTGGTGGATAGAGTCAGATGGGTAATCCAGATCTAGGCAATCTGGGTACTTGACTCAGTAGTACCATCTGTCACCTGCTGTGTGACCTTACTCAAGTCCTCTCACCTTTTCTGTAAGATGAAGGGGTTTCTAAGGCCCCTGCAGCTCTCAATCATGGAACCCCTGGGGATCCACATTGGGGTGCCCAGTGCTGTTCTCCGTAGCCATGATCTTCAGCCCTCCTTTCCCTCTATATTTTTCTCCCAGCAAGTAACCCATGTGAGTCCCTCGGGCACCCACATCCACCCTGGCTGGGGTGAGAGACACTGGGATCCTCTGTACTGTAGCCGGCCTCTGGAGGCTTCCATCGCTAGTGAATGGAAAAAGCCACAGCCAAACTGGTGAGGATCGTATTGCCACCAGAGGTCCCAGCCTTCTCCCCCCTGGCCAGCTCAGGCTCTTTCTATGATCTAGCCAGACTCGGGTCCCTCCCCCCTCTTTGGGGCCCAAGGCTGCCCAGCCAACTAGAGAGAATCTGTGGCCTCTGAGATACAATCAGGCTGGGATCCAGGGGCGATGGCCAGTGCCCTATGGGCAAA